AAAAAAAAAAAAAAAAAAAAAGAGAAAGGGATGAGGCCAGGCATGGTGGCTCATGCCTATAATCCTAGCACTTTGGGAGGCCAAGGCAGGAGGATCACTTGAGGCTAAGAGCTTGAGACCAGCCTGAGCGACATAGTGAGACCCCATCTCTACAAAAAATAGAAAAATTAGTCAAGTGTCAGGGCGCGTGCCTGCAGTCCCAGCTACTCGGGAGACTGAGGCAGGGGGATCACTTGAGCCCAGAAATCTGAGGTTGCAGGGAGCTATGATGATGCTGCTGCACTCTAGCCCGGGCTACAGAGGAGACCCTATCTCAAAAAAAAAGGGGGTGGGTAGTGGTGAGATGAAGGACATGGGGGAGAGGTAGCGACTGTGGCAGCTCAGGCTATTTCCTGGCATCTCTCTAATGACTCTCAATGCCCTTTTCTCAAAAATGACAGCACTGGCTTTTCAGATTCCAGTTAGAAGGCCATATGATATTAGTGTTAAAGAGCACAGAATAGTAAATGTTCTTTTTACCCAGCATCAATCAAACAGAACTTTCTACAGTAGTCTATAATCGGCAGACTGTAATAGCAACATGGTTTAAAGTATTGCTTCTCAAATTTTAATATGCACGTAATTCACTTGGGGATCTTGCTAAAATGCAGATTCTGATTCAGTAGGTGTGAGGTAAAACCTGAGATTCTACATTTCTAACAAACTGCCAGATGCTGCTAAACTGAAGACCACACTTTTTGAGTTTAGAACATGAGCTATGGAGTCAGACAGACCTGAATTTCTATCTCGGCTCTTCTGTTTCTCAGCTGTAAAATCTCTGGCAGGCTGTTTAATTTCTCTGAGCCTTAGTTTCCTCACCTATAAAAAGGAGATTAAAAACAAAACATTACCTACTTTGTAGAGTTGCTGTGGAGGTGAAGTGAAATAATGTACATAAAACATGCTTAGCACCGTGCATGGAAGGAGTAATTAATGAATACTAGTTATTATTAATATTCCATGAACTGGCATTCCCATGTGTCTACGATACACTAAAGACTGTAGTTCAGAATGATTATCTGAAAGCACTGCAAGAGCCTATATTAATCAGAGAGGCAGATTGAATCATATTTAGTCACATTTTGTTAGGCTTATTTCACTGTATTATAATTCTTTGAAAATTGAGACCTCATCTGTATCAGTCAGGGTCCCAGCAGGAAACAGATGGTGCACTCAAATTAGCATAATCAGTGGAAAGTTTAACAAAAGGACTATACAAAGGTGTGGGCAGGGTGTAGGAAAACCGATAGGGAGAGATAGTACAGTAACTTGGGGCTGTTACTACACCCCTATGCCCAAAAGGACAAGGGGAGGAAACAGATAAAACAAAAAAGGAAAATGTGGTATAGAAAGAGTCCTCTTGAGAGAGCTGTGACTTTTAGTTAAGGGATAGTAGCCAGCCTAAGGCAATCCTGCAAGGAGGAAGCCAGGAATAAAACACTCTGACCTCAGTGTCTTCCCTCCCTTTGATGTCCTGCCAGGGATCTCTACTGCTCAAACTCTGTCAGAAGCCAAGAAGGGAAAGGAACTTGCTGATGTAATCCATATAGGTTAGCCCCCTGGGTCACAGAGCAGAATATAAAAGAGTAAAGAGTGGATCAGGATGGATAAGCAGGAGATATCTGGTATACCACTTATGACACATATGCTCAACTCAGATACATCCAAACAAGAACACTGTATCCCTCTAACCAAGCCAAGAGAGAACAGACTACTGTTTTGGACAAAGCTAAACTCAACCAGTTTATCACTAAATGAGGATCAATAACTTTCAGGGTATTTTCCTATTAGATGTCCTATAATCATCTAAAACATAACACAACAAACACTGAATTCATCTTCCTTTACCACCGTAACTCAAATTTCCCATTTCCATCCATGGTAGACTTTGGATACGCCCATTTCTCAGCCTGCAGCATCCTTACATTTCCTCTCTGCATATTTAAATCTTACTTACCCCTTAAGGTCCAATTCAAATACTTCACTTCCAAGAGGCCTTCCTCCAAACTAGTTTAGCCTATACTGATTTCCCTAAACCTCATTGCCAGTAATTTAGTCACTACTGTCAGGTATTGCTATTTAAGTGGTTTGTATATACATATCATCACGTCAAGTATACCTTTTTTTTTTTTTTTTTGAGACACAGTTTTGCTCTGTTGCCCGGGCTAGAGTGCCGTGGCGTCAGCCTAGCTCACAGCAACCTCAAACTCCTGGGCTCAAGCGATCCTCCTGTCTCAGCCTCCCGAGTAGCTGGGACTACAGGTATGTGCCACCATGCCCGGCTAATTTTTTCTCTATATATATATTTTTAGTTTTCCAGATCATTTCTTTCTATTTTTCAGTAGAGACGGGCTCTCACTCTTGTTCAGGCTGGTCTCAAACTTCTGATCTTGAGCGATCCACCTGCCTCAGCCTCCCAGAGTGCTAGGATTACAGGCACGAGCCACCGTGCCCGGCCCAAGTATATATTTCTTAAACGCAGGAACCATGTCTTAACTTTCTTTTTCTCCTTGGCAAGGCAAAGTACCTTGAGACTTATTGCATGTAAGTACACAATCAACACCTGAACAACAAAGATAGGGAAAGAATAGCAGGGGACCAAATTTCCAATCTTATTTTTCCGTGGGAGCTTCTCAGAAAAATCCTAGCTCCCTGAGGACCTTATGTGGAAACACACAGGCTCAAAGGACAGCTCTGTCTCCCATCGATCCACTTGGCATTTTAAAAACACTCTTCTAAATAACCCTTGAGTTAAATAGGGAATCAAAACAGAAATTACAAACTGTTTAAAAATGATCAGCAAGGAAATCAGAACCCATCAAAACCCACGACATACAGCTAAAGTGGTACTCATAAGAAAGTTGTAGCATTAAATTCATTTATTTGTTCCAATATATTCAAATGTATTTCAACTGATAATAAATGAACACAACATAATGACAATAAATACTCAACTCAAGAATACAGATAAGTAACAAAAAAGCATACCCAGAGAAAGTAGAAGGAAAGAATTAACAAATACTTTCAAAAAAATCAATAGCCCATTTTTCACTACTTCTTCCTCTTACAATAATAATAAAAAAAAAACCTTGATGCAAAAACAATCAAGCATAGGAAGACTCTGGAAGGTACAAAGGACAAGGTAGTATAGATTGCCTAGAAACCTTAGGACCTAAAGAACAGTACAGTGGTCAGCTGTCTGGAGTTTCTTTTTGCCTTAGATATATTCCAGATGGAACGCTGGAGAAGCATGCAACCTAAAACTGCCAATAGGCCCGGACTGAAAAAAAAAAAAGAGCCTCAAGAAAAGTTTATTTCCTTTTGTTAAATGACTAGGAAAAGGGTGGGCTGGCAGAACAGAAAAACTTTTTGATAATATCCACTCAATTCTAGTCAAAAACATCAAAGGAAAATCTGCCCCTTCCCATGGTGTCAGCCGTGCCAAACAGAGACACCTATGTCTGACCCCACATGGCAGCAGTTAGGGAGGGCAAGTTGGCCCTCTGCTTCCTCCACAGGGGTAGTATCAGCAGGGCCAAGTGGGAGTGAACTTCTGCCCTATCTTCCCAGTAGCAAAAAGGTGGAACAAAGCTACCCAAAGTGGTGCTACTTGGCACTCCACTTTCCCTGCTGGGGTAGTGTCAGTGGGGCTATCCCCACATGGCAGCAATGAGGCAGTGTCAGTCAGCCCTCCATTCCTCATTCCCCAACCTAGTGCTGGGAGATGGCCCAGCAGGAAGTTGAACTTCTACCCCTCCCCCCAGTGGCAACAGGATAGAACAAAACAGGTGAGGCAGTACTCGGCTTCTCCCCAACTCCCATGTCAACAAGGCCCAACAGGGAGCAGAACTTCTAATCTGACCCAGCAGCTTCAAAGTCACACAAGCCAGTACTATGCTTTTGCCAGGGAGGTGTCAGCAGGGCTGAGTGGAGAGCTGAACTTTCACTTCCATCCATTGACAACAAGGTGTGGTGAGGTGGTGCTTCACTTTGGCCAGTGTCAGCAGGGTCCAGTAGAGAGCTATATATCCACCCCAACATAGACCTGCACACCACATCTAAACAGGGCGATTGCCTGCAAAAGAGGAAGGATAGAATGTAAAATCTCACAACATAATATCCAAAATGTCCAAAACACAATAGAAAATCACTCATTATTACCAAGAACCAGAAATATCTCAACTTGAATGAGAAAAGAAAATCCACAGACTCTAACACAGAGATGACACAGATGCTGAAATTACCTGGCAAGGGTTTTAAAGCAATCATTATAAAAATACTTCAATAAGCAATTAAAAATACACTTGAAACAAATGAAAAAAAGTCTCAGCAAAGAAAAAGAATGTATAAAGAAGAACTAAATAAAAATTTTAGAATTAAAAAATATAATAAAAATTTTAAAACTCACTGGATGGGCTATACCAGAATAAATATGACAGAGGAAAGAATCAGTTAACTTGAAGATAGAACAACAGAAATTACCCAATTTGAACAACAGAGAAAATACACTGAAAAGAAATGAATAGAGCCTCAGGGTCTTGAGGGACAATGACAAAAAGACAGAACATTCATATCACTGGAGTTCCAGAAACAAAGAGAAGAAAGAGTATGGGGCCAAAACAGTATTTGGAAAAAATAATGGCTGAAAACTTCCCAAAGGTTAAAATGTTGACACTAGAAGACTGTGACTAATTACTTATGTATAACGTAATACATAGAGCAACCACTAAAAAATACATACAAACATATACATTTAAAACCTGTATAGATAAACCAAAATTGAATTATTAAAAAAGGTTCAAGCAACACACAGCAAGGCAAGAAAAATGAAGAGGAACAAAAAACTAAAGGAACAAACAGAAAACATAAAACAGCAAATTGAAGCTTTAACATAACGACAATTACATTAAGTGTAAATGATCTAAACCAACCAATTAAAAGACAGATTGGCAGAGTGCTTAAAGAAACATGACTCAAACATGCTGTGTACAAGAAAATTACTTCAAACATGATATAGGTAGGTTGAAAATAAAAGGGTGTAAAAATATATGCCTTGCAAAAGAACTTATCTTTTGATTTAGAACAAAGAAAATTCTCAAAGGCAGAAGGACATTACATAATGATAAAAAGAGTCAATTCCCCTAGAAGACATAGCAAATCTAAATGTGTATGCATCAAACAACAGAGCTTCAAAATACATGAAGGAAAAACTAATAGAAATTAAAGAACAAATAGATAAATCCACAATTATACTTAAAACTTCAGCATCCCTCTCTCAACAACTGATAGAATTACTAGATGAAAATCAATAAGGATACAGAAGAACTGAACACCACTTTCAACCAACAAGGTCTAACTGACATTTATAGAACATTCTACCCACCAACAGCAGAACAGACATTCTTTCAAGAGCACATGGATCCTTCATCAAGGCAGATCATCTCCTGTCTCATAAAATGATTCCAAACAAATGTAAAAGAATCAAAACTGGCCAGGCGTGGTGGCTCACGCCTGTAATCCTAGCACTCTGGGAGGCCAAGGTAGGCAGATTGTTTGAGCTCAGGAGTTCGAGACCAGCCTGAGCA